GCTTTTTATTTCACTTCTTTTGGACTGATGCATGCAACACCCGCTGAGTGCCATTAAACAGCTTGAAAGATCAAAGACCATTTTTAATATAACTCCGACTGGATTCGTCTGAAAGAAGAAAGTCATATATACCTACGATGGCTCTGGGGTGAGTAAAACACAGCCTAATTTTCATTTTTGGGTGAACTAACCTTTTAAGTCGCTTGGGTATATTTTTAGCAATAGCCAAAAAAACACTGTATGGGTCAAAATTATCGATTTTTCTTTTATGCCAAAAATCATTAGGATATTAAGTAAAAATCATGTTCCATGAAGATATTTTGTAAATGTATTTTGTAAAGTTGTATCTCGGCCAAATATCGTCCTATCCTAACAAACCATACGTCAATGGAAAGCTTATTTATTCAGCTTTCATATGATGTTTAAATCTCAATTTAAAAAAATTGACCCTTATGACTGGTTTTGTGGTCCAGGGTCACATTTGATTGGTGCTGAAACTTATTAGAATGACAATGTACGTCTTCAATAGGAAATCTTGGTTCCCGAAGCGTCCGAATTTGCGCAGTGGGAACCTGAGGGTGTTGATACAGACTGTCCTGTGACGGCGATCATTCCCACGTGGAAGATGCTCACTACTTTGGACATGAGCCGAAACTTCATACGCTGCATTGATGAGTCGGTGGTGAGCTATGATTGTACATTATATGAAATACATACCAGTTTATCTTTCCTTGTTGATCGCAAATTTGAGCTTTTCCTGATCTTTTTGGTACAGAAACTGATTCCTGAAGTCGAATTCCTTGATCTCAGCTATAATGAATTGTCTCTAGTGGAAAACCTTCAGGTGTGTTGTCTCTAGATAATTTCGTAATATTATTTTTAAAGTGCAAAGTAGGTTTGACGTTTAGAATCCAATGAATTTTCATTGCAGCATTTGTACAACCTGGTTCATCTGGATCTGTCCTTCAACAAACTCACGGTGCTGGAGGGCGTTCACACTAAACTGGGGAATATCAAGACTTTGAATCTGTCTGGGAATCAGCTGGAGACCCTTTCCGGCCTCAGTAAACTTTACTCATTGGTTAACTTGGATTTAAGCAGCAACAAATTAGCACAGGTAGTTTATTACAGTGTTTGCTTAGACATTATTTTCCTGACACCAGCATAATTCTCTCTGTCTTCTGTTTTTTTGTAGCTGGATGAAATTAAAAACATTGGCAGTCTTCCCTGTCTGGAGAAACTGTCTCTGGCTGATAACCCCATGTGCATCATCCCAGATTATAGGACTAAAGTTCTGGCCCAGTTCTGCGACCGGGCCTCCGAGGTATTGGCCTAGAGCTTTTCATCGAGGGTTCGGTCTGTTTACTGCGCAGTTTTGCAGTATTATTACACCAAGAAGAAAAAAAGAGTGCCAAACTAAACAAATAATTACATTTATTTATGATTAATTTTTTCAGATCTTTTTCGGGATTTGTTTCTAATTGATATATATATATATAAAGTATAATTCATGTTTGTCATGCAGGTGTGTTTGGATGGTACAACCACCACAGAAAAAGAGCTCGACACAGTGGAGGTGCTAAAAGCCATTCAGAAAGCAAAAGAGGCCAAAGACCGAATGGCAAACAATGAGAAAAAGGTATTTTGAAGATTTTATATTTGTTTTTATTTTTTAAAATGTAAATTAAATGGATAAAGGATCATTTTGTTCTATTATTATTATTATTAACGGCAATATTATTATAATTATTACAATATCATAACAACATTATTACTATGAACATTTATTATTATGAATTTTTTGCTATTAACATATATTATTATTTGTCTGTTTTGCTTTTGCTTAGAAGGAATTAAAGAAAAAAATTTAAGAAATAAAAATTATGTAAAGTCAGTTGACAATGGAAACTAATTTAGGTAAAAGCCCTGCTGAATAAAACGTTATGTAAGAGGTCCTAATTCAGTCTGCTTTATCTGGCAGGTTAATGGTTTTCTGACTAATGTAATTATATTTGTGATATATTTATAGTGTTTTAAAGGAGTGTGCTGATGGCTTTCATTGAATTAATTGTGACAGTTTTTTAGGTGTGAATCGGCCTAAACCTTGATATCCAGACATGACAAATCAACAAAAAGATGATTCATTGTCTGGCTTTATATGCTCACATTGATGCATTGGTGTGTCAGCATCTAGTACATAACACAAATCTTCCAGTGGAGTGAAAGACACGAGTTGTGGCGCCTCCTCCTGGCCAGACTCATCATCGGCACTTCACATGTCTGCAGTCATGCTGTGTTAAATAAATGTGATTATTTGCATATGCTATTGTAATATTATAGTATATATCTTAAACATTGCAGTGCACTCATGACTCTGAATTACCATAATTACTATGACAGAAAAATACTCACTACATCAATAGAGCTGTTCCGTTTCGAGTCTAAGGATTTTTATTTATTTATTGTTGATTTAAATAGTTTTGAACAATTAAAATATTATTTAAATTATTTTCTTTAAATTTAATTTTAGAATCAAGAAAGCATATCAGGCAGAATCATTTATAATAAAACGGCATGTAAAATGGTTGTAAATATAATAAAATGGCAGTGAAGCTTTGAACTGTTATTGGGGAAAAAAGTGCTAAAAGTCTGCACTTTTATTAAATTAGACAGAAAAATTGTAGTTATGGTAATAACACGAATGCACTACTTTGTAAGTACTAACATCGTGTCCTAACCAGGCATGATGTTTTGATCACCAAGTAAGCATTAAATCCATAGCCAATCAGTAAATATGTGTTTTTTTTTATGGAGCAGGATTTGGACCAGTGAAATTTCAGTGTGGGTGGAAAAACTGATTAACATGGCGATTTATGGCTCGTCGTTCTGGTTTGGACATGTTGTAAAATTTTAAATGAACATTAAGACGTTTACGATCCCTCACACCCTTTACATTGACCTCCAGGGGTCTTGAATTAGTCACACTGTGTTTTTGGCCTGATGTTATTGTTGTCAGGTGAGTGACGTCCCGGGACAGGCTGCGGGCGGGCCACAGTCCTCTTCGTCCTCTCTCGTCGCGCCGCCCTCCTCTTCCTCCCCCTCTCTGTCTCGTTCCACCTGCTCCAGTCAAGGTAATCATGTATGTATCGCGCTGCTGGGACGAGGGGGGGAACACAAATGGAGAATTAAAAGTGTTGTTTCAAACACTCCCATCTGTCACTGGTTGGATAAACAAATAGTCTTGCCTAAACTCGTTGTGTCTGCATACAAAAATGGGAGAGGAGAAAGTATTATCAAAAAAAAATACACTTCACCTTTAAAATGAAAAAAAATGTACGTGATTAGATAATTAGCATGCTCTCTGTGTTGCATCATGTGATTTTCTTTATGATTGTAAATGAATAATCAGACAGTATTGAATCCTTTTCTTATGACAATCTGAAGCTATTGAATTTTTATTCCTTACAAAAAGACTCGGATGGTTTCCTTTGCACCAGTGATCTCTCTAAATCTAATTTCATTTACATTTCTGTTCAGTTAGTCCTGCATACTGACTTATTGCAGCTCTGCCGGTCGTAATTGAGTTTCAGAGATTTGGTGCGTCCTTTTCTGCACTGCAGATGAAATAAATCAAGTTTCATCAGCATTCCTCAATGATTTTTCTCATATCTTTGCTTTGAATGAGTATAATGGGCATCCATTTCTTTCCTGTGTAGCGTCAAACTAGCTTAAACGTTGAATTTTGTGGTGGTTAATTTGCATGTGTTGCTCTAATAGCGATTGGGCCTGATTTATAAAGCATTTGATCTCCATATTTGTCTCTTGAGTGTTAGTTACTAAGCAACAGCCTCGGGTGGTTTGATAGACTTAGCGTTTTTGCAAACAGCATCTAAATATTCAGCATTACGCACTCCTAAAAAATGTGATTTAAATAGTGTTTCTCAAATATTAATGGGATATTATTATACTCTATTGTAATCGTAATCATCTATACATCAGTTCGTAATCTATACATTCCATTTCATTTGCATATAAAACACATTATATGGGATTGTATAATGTTTAAGAGTGTAATTAATATACACACATATATGGGGGGGGGGGGTATGTAGTGTCTGACTCCAAACTTATTTAATTTTTTATTTTTAACAACAAAAGCCTTAATTCAACATGCATCCATATGTGGTTTGAAATCGAATTAAAATCAGATCTATTTTTCTTCTAACAGTTTATTCAGTTGCTGCCAGTTGTTGTCTGTCAGTCTCTTGACATCGTCCTGACATTTGAATTGTTACTATATCACCCAACATAGCATATATTGTAACACTGTATAGCAACACTATATATATTTATAAATATATACATAGCAACACTGTATATATTTATACAGCATATATTGCCTGAACAAACAAATTAGATCATCACCATCCATTTTCATCACCGCATCGAATTGTGCTGTGTGAACTAAACTTTAGTGACTAAAGAATGACTTTTGCTTTCCATCTGTCTCCCTTTCAGAAATAACTACTTGTAAAGAAAAAGCTTTTATTACCAAAGAGATATTAACTCCTGTGGATTCTACACTTACCCAGAGATGCTATGATGTTTACAGCTCAGCCTGTGATATCATTCCACAGGTTGGTTTGTATTATAGCACAATTAATTAATTAGTAATGTAGTTTCAGCAACAAACAAGAACACAGCACTGGTCCTTTTTTTGCAGGTGAAAACTCAAATTGATTCCAGTTTGTCTTCGGAGGTCACATTCGAAAGCAGGTTAGTTCTTTAGTATTCTTTTGTTTTGTTTCTGCTATGCCAAAACATACTTGTATCCCATAAATGTGGTTGCAATGAGCTGTTTTTTTCTACGTTTATGTCTTTAGTGGAGTACATTTTTGGCCTTTTAACTTTTGATTGACTAAGGTAGTAATAAAAATGTAGAGCTACTAAAACATTTGTCCACTGACATAGGGCTGCACGATAAATCGAAATGGAATCGAGATCGCGATTCGACAGAAGCTGCGATTGTCATGCGTATCTTTCAGTGAAGCACGGTTCTGTGACATCTCACAGAAGGATTTATTTCAAACACTCGACTGACGTTATGAAGTGAGTTTGGAGTAAAAATATGTTATTAAATGTGGTATTTTCACATGCTTTCAGATGGAGCAGCATTTACTACACAGAGCACTGAGAAGCTATGCAAACAGCTGTCATCGCGAAAGATTTTTTGCGTAACTTGTCAGTGAACTACGGCTATGTGTAGTAAATTCTGCTCCATCTGAATGTACGTGATAATGATTTCCTGCTGATTACAGAACCGGCATTACTAACAAAATGCGCATGACAATCGCATTCGATTAATCGTGCAGCCCTACATTGACACAACTTCCAGTCCATGAAGATTAAGTTCAGGTTGTCACTGGTGTTGAAGTGCTAAAGGGATGAGCAGTTATGGTTTTATGTTCAAGATTCCAAAGCTAAACCAAAAACGTTTCATTCCTCTTTAGCCCCTGTTGCTGTGAAGAGGAGTGGAAACCTTGGACCGCAAATCTTTCAAATCTCTTTGTACCTCCTCCCTTACTGTCCTACGCTACCACCAACCAGGAGTTTACCAACCAGCTTTCTGCTCACATCAGCCAGGCTAATATAGAAGAATCAACTCCGATACCTTGCAAAACCACGACTCTTGATGGCACAGACCAAGGCAGTCCTCAATATGGAGATGGGTACTTTGAAATGACAATAGATGACACCAACGAGATCATGGGTTGTTCCTCCTCGTCTACCATTCAGGAAAATATGCCAGATGATGTGAAGAAGGAATCTGCAATTGATCATGTAAAAATGGTGGTTTGGTCTCTTTGCATCAGTGTTGGAGAAGGTTTGAGTCAGCGGCCATCTTGTTTGGTGGCAACGGATAGTTCGCTTGTGGTTTTCCACACAAGGTCAGAAGAACCAGTGAGTACTTTGGAAGAACTAATGGAGAACCTTGAGACAGACTTGGTTGTGCCGTACACCAACATTGAGACCTTTCAGTTTGATATTCCAGAGGTTTGTTTCTCCTTGAAGGTCAAGTCAAGCAATACACGATGGTACTTTTTCTCAGGCGCCCAAAGTCTGAAGGAGATGCACTCTTGCATTGTTCCACATGTGGACCAAACTAATGAGCAAGTTTTGAACTCCTCTAACACTCAAGTGTTTATCCGACAGTTTCTGAACTCTTGGGACTTTGAGGAAAGTGAGGGCAGCGTTAAAGGCGGACACTTGATCCATTTCCTTGATCTAGACTCATCTACCTCTGACAAGAACGTCGCAAACAACCCACAGTTTCCAAAGAACTCAGCTACCTTGGATGTATTGTCCCAAATCGGCCTGTTTGAAAGTGGTCAGAACCAAACCTCCAATCCCATGATTCTTTTCCTGACCTCTCGGCACCTCTGCATTCTCAAGGTAGACTTCATTACTCTGGCGTCCCGGGACCCTTCGGAAGCAAGTGCAATGCGGAACTGCTCCAAAGTAACCCGTTTCCCACTCTCATTCATGCTTCTCGACCCAAAGCAGGACTGTTCATGTAGGGCTGTCTCAGACTCTCGGCGTTTCTACAATGAGCATGTTGTAGAACTGATGGCAGGTCACGAACGTCTGACTGTTGTTTTTGCCCTTCCACAAGACAAGTTCACATTCCAGATAGAATTCACACAGCTTCGGTCCAATCTGAGGGAAATTAAGACCATCGCTCTCCAGCGCACCAAGAAAGGACACTCGAAAGTGCACAGTTGTCCCGCTCCTGCTACAGCCACAGAAAGAATACCTACCAGCAGGTAATGGGGCTCATTCATTACCAGTATTTTCAAAGATATGTATAGATGCCATTTTAGCTCCAGTCCGAAGCTGTAGACTGGAATGTATCTGAAATGTTTTAGGTTCAAACCTTGCAAAGGCTGTCAGGATTTGTGCCTTTTAACAAGACGCTTTCAGAAAGAATATACTGGACTACATGTAGCTACAGTAGCTTTCTACTGGCAATAAATTCAATGTCCGCCAGGTGGGGTTGGGAATTGGCACCATCATATTGTTTAAATTGCAGCTATAGCTGTTAGCATGAGAATTGTCAATAAATCTTAACCAGAAGTTCATCGGACTAGACAAGAAATCCCAACTCAAAAAGTCGATTTTACGATTTTAAAATTAAGATTTTACTATATCCCTAACCAGTCTTTCAATTCACCCTTCGCTGGGAATTTGACTAGCAGGTGATCTTACCAATCATAATGCCGAATCTTCCATGTTGTTTGACAAACAAACCAGACAGGAGATTAGATTAACATTGGTGGACTTGAACTTGAAAAATGGTGTGTATATTGACGTCTTCCCGTGATTGAAACAAGATACCTTCTGACGTTCATTCTGCACTTTGGATGGGATAAATGCAGAGCACTAATTCCGAGTATGGGTCACCATACCACATGTCAAGTCACTTTTTCACTTTTTTTTATTTTGTGCTATAACTAGTAAAGAGAAAGAGATGATCTTTTCAATGTTCTGCTTAAAATAAGACGCTATAGCGATCTGTCACAACACATTAAAGAGACACAAAATGGTACTGGTATTGCAACAGTAACTAAGGGGGTGGGTCTTTGCGAATGGTCAAACCTTATCCCTAATCCTTAGTTTACAGATGAACCATCTTTACTGGATACTACCAAATGCAGCAGAGGAGATAAAATGCATCTGCTAAATGACTACTCATTTTTCCTAAGGCAGCATTTGTTAATTAGCACAACCTTAATGGTTCTTCTTAGCTGTTTTCACAGTAGATATACTGCACTGTTTTTTTTCCACAGTGTCCCTCAGGAGGTGCCAAGGCCCCACCTGACCCTGTCTCTGCTGTATCCAGCCAAATCCCTCATTCAGCAGCTGATGGAAGACAACCAATGTCCCTCACACTTCTCGCTCTCCTCCTCATTACTCCTCATCTCGTCTCTCAAGGGAGACCAGCTCGTTCACTTCTTCCACGACAATATTGCAGAGGCAAGTCGTTTGCTCATTTTGCAGATTCTGATCCTACGAGGAAATTTCCTGGATGGTTGTGCTGTAGAATGTTCCCTACGGAAGCAATCTCTTGGGTTTTTCCTGTGGTTCTGTTGTTGTCGTCACACTGTATATTCCTCGATTTGTCCTTCCGGTCAACCCCTCTCTTCCTGTGTGCGCTCTTGGCTCCTGTATGTTTGTTTATTTACTTTGACTGTGTTACATTTGGCCAGCTGCCTTGTTTTCAAGATGACTATCTGAACCTCTTTCCACTCATTCCTATTCAATCAGTGTCTTGTTTTTACAGGATATCCTAGACCGAATTTAAAGTGTAAACAAACACACCCTAACATTTGAAATTTGTAACATGATCAGTAACCCTCACTACAATCATTAATGCCCTACTCTTAATTTGAGGTGAGTATGTGGCTGTTTTCCTGGGCATGTCCTGTATTCTTCAAAACAATACATTGCATGGTTCAAGGTATCATTCATGTTCATAGCACAAAATGCATGGAAGAAACAATTCTGACACTACATTTGAGCAATTGTAATCCTTGACTAAGCAAACACTGCTAAATAAACTGCAGTATTATGCAATGAAGAGACAGAACACTTAGGGTGTTTTTCTCACCGTTTGCATGCAGATGGAGAATGAGGAGCTGAAACACATCCTGTGGACGTCGGTGCTCTTCTACAGATCTCCTGATGTGGAGACGACCGCCTGTGTCCTGCTGTCCACCAAAGCCATCTACTTCGTCCTGGACGATACGGCATCCTCACTCACCAACCAATCAAGTGAGCAAACATTTACTTTACATTTGGAGTGACAATTTTATTCTAATCTGATCTTCAGCCATATTCAGTTTTGTTGTTCATTTGATATATCTACTCATTTATATTTATTTACTTATGCTATTCTATATGCTGTTCTAGTCAAACAGTCTAGATAGCACATTAAAATCGATTCATTAAATTGATTGATCTTGCAGTGATGTGGACCTGGAACCCGTCTGAGCACAAGGACACTGATTTCCTCTTCTCCTTCTGCTTCACCCTAAAACTAAAAGACCTGCAGAGCGTCAATGTGGGCTTGTTCGATCAGTACTTCAGAGTCGTGGGTGAGTTTGTGTTGACCATGATCTCTTCTGGTCACATTTTCCATCCAAAATGAGTCAAAGATATACAGTACGTGATTGGATGACATATTTATTAAGCTGACACCAATTGTAATCATCAGCTTACAAGATTAGTTCACTTCCAGAATAAAAATTTTCTAGATATTTTTATTCTGGGAGTGAACTAATCCTTTAAACAAAAGGATTACCAATATATAATACTGTATATACAGTGGTGGCCAAAATTATTAGAACACTAGTATTTTCACTAGCTAAAAATGGTTTTAAATCAGTTATTTCTGTCTTTTGCTGTAGTGTGTCTACAGCAAAATACTAGTGTTCTAATCATTTTGTCCACCACTGTGTATAAGTGCATGCTGTTTAAATTTTCACAAGTCCATTTTATGGGCTACCAGACTTACCCACAAGCCCTCACGCTGGTGTTCGACGACGTCCCCGGACCGGATCTTTTGTGCCACCTTACCATGGACCATTTTGCGGAGAGTGACGGGAAGGGCGACAGGACGCAGGGGGTTGGAGGAGCCGAGGGGGAAGTGCAATGGTGTATTTTTGTACCAGGAGCGGACAGCAGAGAGCGGCTAATATCGCTCTTGGCTCGCCAGTGGGAGACATTGTGTAGCCGAGAGCTGCCAGTTGAGCTAACAGGCTGAAGTTGGGAAAAAAATGGAGAATTTGCAGTATTCACCTACACAGTATGATGAACATTTCTTTTTACGAACGTTTTTTACAGTTTTGACACAATGCATCCTGGGAAGCTGTATTGTAGAGTCCACACGAGTATAATATATATTTTTTGTCTCACGCTTCAAACTTTGCTTTT